CCTTGAAGACTCAAATGCAGCCAAGTTTGTGATTCCAAATCATACAGTGTGATGTGCGGATGTCAATGCGGGAGAGGTGCGTCTGACTCCGGGCTACTTTTACACTGCTGCCGCGGGTTATTATTCAGGTTGGCGGTTCTAAATACAAATAAATAAGCTCTAACAGCACATGACATCATGAAAATAGGGGGAAATATTAACAGTTAGCGGATTAACCTGGCTGCCTTCTCACTAGACCCTCTGCTTGCAGCACAGTTAATGATATGCTAAGGATAGGATCGCTTGACGCGATTGGTTATTGAATTTTGTGACGTAGCAAAAAAAGGCTGTTTCAAACCGCGTTTCTGTGACTGCCTTTGGGAAACTACCGTTTTAAGGAGAAAATACTCAGCAATGGTGTTGATAAATGGATTGGCACATGGTTTGGCTAAAAGCATATTAAAAACAACACATTAGTGCTGGGCGGTATGACCAAAAATGTATATCACGGTATTTTTCAAAATTATACCGGTTTCACTGGCGAAATCTTCCAACTGAACCATAGCTAAGGTTTATCCAAAAAAGTCGCTAGGTTTGTCAGTATGAATATTCTATGGAAAAAAATCACTAAAAGGGTCTGAAAGTTGCTAAATGTAGTGCTAAAGTCCCGCTCATGTGTGTGTGAGACGCGGGAGCTGATGGCAGGGGGCGGTGGATATTTGTGGCGGTCAATGTGGATATTGTGGATGAGTTCTTCTGTGTCATCACGTTCTATTAGTTCTACAGCTTCAGTTTCGGAACTTTCACGCTTGGTAACACACACAGCTGTTCCCTCACCACAGTGCAACAGTGAAAAGGGACCCCTTTCAAACAGTGTCGCGTTCCGAACGTTGTTTAAGCGACATACACTGGTATTGCGGTATTTTAAAAATTCATATCATAAGAAAAATAAACAACGGTATTCGGTATGAACCGGTATACCGCCCAGCACTACAACACAGACAAATAAACAACATAAAAAAAACTTGATTTTCACCACAGGTGAGTCTTAAGTCTTAAGTGAGTGTAAATAGCTGGGAGACAATTGGATGTGTGGCAATATATTGGATCCATACATGAGGTCCTAAAGTGACAGCAACCTAATATACCTGCTGTTGCTTGTGTCCTGTGTTAATCAAACAACTAAAAACTAAGAGAAAGTCTCTCACTGCTCTTGACTAAATAACTTCTGTAGCTTTAATAAAAATAAATAAATAAACTTGATTTATACAATGAAGACTACATTTCATGAATCAGTTTCTGTAGTATTTCTTATTTCTGATAGACTTACCCGAAAACTATATTTTGTTTATTTGTGCTAGTGCAATTTGTTCTTATTTTATTATTGACTGTTTTTGTGTCTTCAGTGAGCTTGATAAGTTTTTAACTTACGTTAGTTAGGCTAGTGTTTTCTTTCTGTACATCTGTATTTACCGCTAACTTGTGGTTTTGTTATTCATTTGTATTTATTCATATTAAATTAGCATTAAACATTTTATACAAATTGTGACACTTAAATCTAGTTAAAATCGTTGCATAAATCGAAAATGAAATGCACATTTAATGATAAATCAAAATCTAGTTGATAAATCTTTCATATTTTGACTACAGTGAAGAAAAAAGTAAAAAGATGTTAGTTTCAATTTACAGGTCTTATCTTTACAAGAGCTACATGTTCTCCAACATGTGCTTCAAGACAATAAAACAAATAAAAGACTTTTCCTCCACCTAGTAGACAAATACTTTGCCATTTAAACACACATACAGCAGCATAATGAAAGGTATACTGTAACCAAACATGAAGAGCAATAGATGTCTCGATGAAGGGATCTGTGGAGGAACTCCTAAACATGACATTTTTCTGTGATCTTTCGAGGATGCTCTTTTCTAAGAAACTTGGAATCAAATGCTTCCACGTTTCAACAATCCTCGTATAGACCACAGGCTATATCACAGGGTTCAGTAGGGTTAACATCACCCTGAAGCTTTTTTTTTTTTAATTCTCAAGACTCTTAAGGTTTTGCACCCCTGGTTTCCACAGCTGGTTTGCAGCAGGCTTTTTTTTTTTTGGAAGGAGTTGAGAGTGGTTTGATCTTAACTGTCCAGTAAAGGAGCCACTTCAAACTGATTAACACTGACAACAAGCTTGATCTGATGGTCAACACTCATCTTACTGACTACAAGGTAACAAAACACAAAGGCTAACACAGTCCAAAATCTAAATACACACATACATTTAAAAAAGTGCAAACAATATATAAGGCCTGTTTGTTTCACACATCCATCTGTGACGCATAAGCAGCCATGTACTTATTTTGGCACACATATTCACACTACCTTTGTGAGCATCATCACTGAGTGAACACAAAAACACAGTGAAAATACACAATAAATCTATTTATTAACACAATATTTTGCAATTTAAGCTAATATGAAGCGACATACCATAATAGTAGGGCTGCAAAACGATTGGTCACGATTAATCGATTCAAAATAAAAGTTTATGTTTACATACAAAATGTGTGTGTACGGTGTATATTTATCATGTATATATAAATACACATGTATATATTTAAAAAAATATTTGTATGTATTGTTTGTATACGATTTATATTATACATAAATATAAATATTTTACATATAAATCTAACATATTTTTCCTTAATATATACACGTGTGTATTTATATATACACATAATAAATATACACAGTACACACACATATAGTATGTAAACATAAACTTTTATTTTTAATCGATTAATCACGACTAATCATTTTGCAGCCCTACATAATAGAGCGACCTATTTACTCACTGTTCAAAATAAATACGTCTGTCAGGCTTGATTTAATTTACACATGCTGTGACAGGCATACAAACCTAAACAAAGTTAAACTAATAAAAATGCTTTTTTTAATTGAAATAAAGCTATAATAAAATACAGTATAAATATTATGAAAACCATACAAAAAAGGTAAACCAATGAAATAAACAAAATGAAATAAAATAGGTTGAAATAAAATAAGTTGAAGTCATGAAATTACTAAAACTAAAATTGAAATAAAAATAAAGTTAAACAGAAATAAAAAAAAAAATGAATAAAAATGCCAAAAGCCCATCAAAAATACAAAAATATAATTAAAAATTAAAACTAAAAATGAAACACTATGGAACATAAATAAAATTGAAATGCACTGTAACGGTCAGAATCATCAACCCATTTTATAATGTATTTCTGTAGAGGAAATACAGTGTAAATCACTTTCAGTTGTTTTCTGTCACAGATGTGTGAAAAAGGTCTTTGACTAAAATTTGAGAAACCACACTTGTATTGTTTTTTTTTGTTTTTGTTTTTTAAAGCTTACATTTTGCGGGAAGGAAAAAAAGACAAAGGCCAGGGTTTTCATAAAACACAAGCAGCCTAAATTTACTGTTTTGTACCCTATTTTTTTCTTATGCGTTTATTCTGACAAGAAACTGCTTTACGCAAAGGTCTGGTCATGCCTAGTAATAGGTTTGCAAAATTTGCAATGAGATGTACTATCTGACTGTAATTTCAGGCCCAGTTGTGGTGAAATACAGTGTAAACTGTGAAAGCCAGTGGCGATGCATTACTCAGACTTGTTCATGTGGTAGGAGAGAGGCTGATTGCCAAAAGCCATCCCACCCATTGGCAGCACACATGCTCACAGCACACCCCTCAAGCTACTGCTGTGCTCGAGATAAAATAAGCCTTTTCTGGCAGTGCTATCACACCAGCCAATCAATAATAGAGAGACAAATTATACAGCAATCCCATCGGTAACTAAAACCACCCTCAAAGAGTCTCAGTGCTACTGAATATTTATGGGAATAGTGAAATCTCACATATACAAAAATGTGCTGATAAAGATCTCCATCATTTCTCTCTGAGGATATAGAGCAGAACCACACTCAAGGAGGAGAAATGGTTGTGAAATTGCTTTCTAATCTCTAAAATGAGCTTCACTGCAAATTATGTGTAATTGTGCATCACGTACATTTCAACTAAACTCTGTCAGGGAGGAAAACACAGTGACAGATGAAATCTTTCAGACAGGACATAAACATCAACCAGGATTAAGTGTGGAGAGGAGAGGCCATTTCAATCAATTCAGGACTCAGCATTCCCCAGTGGCCAAATCAGATCAAAGCAACAGACACTTCGGTCTGCCCACTCCACGCTTGCGCACGCACAGATCACAGTGCCATTCACGCACTTTGCAAACAGTGAGAGGAAACAGGCTGAACTGACAAAGGCAAAGAGAGTCTCACATTTCCCCCAAGAGAGAAACAACACCACCCAAGTCATCATATGCACGGCCTGATGTCTAGTTCAGAGAGATGTTGCTGCATGATAAAGCCAAGCTTTTCCTGTGTCACATCATCATCATCATCTTCTTCATCACCTTGACAACATGATGACATGACTACAGCCCTACATCCCTCTGGAAAGAACACCGGTGTCCTTATGACCTCTGGAGAACAAACAGAAGGGCACTTACAAGAATCAAATTAAGAGGCTCATCTGATCATTTTCTTTGGAAAATGGTGTGTTGTTATACTGCTGTTTATATCATTCATCCCTATCAAATGCACTGAGTCTAAGGACATCAATTAATGATGAGAGCTCTGCCTATCGACAGCCTTGTTATTAGGCACTCATGACATTTAAAAGTCTTTGATCATATATTATAAGCAGAGATCCAGCGCAACACGCATTTATACAGTGAAAAATAACGATAAGCAGCTAGCAGCAGCTAACAGGATCAAATAGCAGCACTGAGCTAGCTGTCAAAGCTGCTTATACAACCAGCAGCGTACATTTCCACACCGTTATAACGCAAACACCTTCATCCATCCGTTCACCGCACAACTGCTTCAGAGCAAACCATCATATAAGCACCATATAGCAGTTATAAGGTATAATGCTAGACGCGAGAATGGGAGTAAAAGAGATACTGACCTCCAGGAGCTAAAGCCACAGCTACTCGCTTTAGCCGTCTATCTGTGGCCCTGCTGCGGCGAAACAGCGTCTCAAATCGCGTTCGTCGTTTCAGACGATGGCCAACACATGCTGTGACAGCGGCACGACGCGACGCGACACATCCGTGTTCTGTGGCGGCGGGTCAGTCAGTGATGCAGCGATGATTGTGCCTGCAGATAAGCGCTGCTCGTGCTCCTCTCTCTCCCTCTCTCTGTTTGCTTGCAAGCTGACTGTACAACAGCGACGTCCGAATCGTGAAGGAATTGTTCGTTTGAACCGGTTCTTTTCAGTGAATCAGTTGAACCGGTTCTCAGATTGGTGCGTCTCAAATCGCATTCTTGTGCACTATTGTATGACCTTTTTAAGTAGGCCTATACATAGTGCGATGAGTGCGTTCACACTGAAAGTTCCAAAAAGAAAAAGTGCTCTTTAAATACCCGGATGATGCACTTAAATAACCGGAAAAGGAAGTGTGGAATGTTGCACAGATGGTTTAATTGATGATAAGGCGAAAAGGTTAATAACTTGAGTAGCCGGTATAAATAAAATAAAAAAACTTAAATGATCACTGGGTTCTTTATGACTTTACGCTGAATTATGGCTGCGACAAATGAAATGAGATTACAATAAGTATGTTCATTAATAATAACAAACACACACAACTGACAGATTGCATTTGGTAGAAAATATGTGACCCTGGACCACAAAACCAGTCATAAGGGTCAGTTTTGGAAATTGAGATTTATACATAATCTGAAAGCTGAATAAATGAGCTTTCCATTGATGTATGGTTTGTTACGATATTTGGCTGAAATACAATTATTTGAAAATCTGGAATCTGAGGGTGCAAAAAAAACTAAATATTGAGAAAATCGCCTTTAAAATTGTCCAAATTAAGTTCTTAGCAATGCATATTACTAATCAAATATTAAGTTTTGATATATTTACGGTAGAAAATTTACAAAATATCTTCATGGAATTTGATCTTTTCTTAATATCCTGATGATTTTTGGCATTAAAGAAAAGTCGATCATTTTGACTCATAATGTATTGTTGGCTATTGCTACAAATATACCCGTGCTACTTATGACTAGTTTTGTGCTCCAGGGGTCACATATAATAAAAGAACCGGTTAATTAAAACGAAGCGTTCAAAAGAACCGATTCGGAGAAAAGATTCGGACTTCCCATCACTACTGTACGAGCCGCGCGTGAGTTCCGCATACAGCCGGAGGCTGGACTGTACCATTCACTCATCTAGAGGGGACACGCCTTCACGTTTAGGCTTACAGTCGAACGCGTAAACTGACGGTTTTCTGGCGTTTATTCAACAATTGACTAGTTAGATCGAGGTTAAAATTGAAAACATTCGTCATTTGCTAGAGAGTGGTTCTAATTTTTTTTATGCTTTATTAATTCAATGCCACGAGAGTGGTTCAAATGGTAAGATTGCACAGGCGCAAACTGACGTCCAAAGACGTAGGGGAGTGGTTATTTGCATATTGCTCCAGTAGCCCCTCACTGCAGAACACAAGAGCCAGGGGGCGTGGTTGGATCCTCATCTAGGGGGTGGAGATTGGTAGGTTTAGGGGTGGAAATGGGTGGGTTTAGGGATCAGGGGGCGGAAACGGGTAGGTTTAGGTATATGTAAGGTGGGAGGAGTTGGATCTGGATCCAACCACACCCCCTGGATCTTGTGTTCTGTAGTGAGGACCATCTCTGCTGAGAGATGCCTTCATAACACAAATGCTAATAGACAGATCACTGACACCAATGTCGTAAGCTCAGATTCAGTATTTATTTACAGGGTCAACCCGGACCTATTAAAAAACAGCAGAATAATAAAAAGACAAACAATACGGAGGTTCCCCATTTCAGGTAAATGTATTTCTGTATAAAGAATAGGCTTTGAGTCATCTAGGTTTTTCAGCATTTTTATCAGATAAATATATACTCTCACAGAACAATAAATTTAGTCTACTTTCAATTTATACACATAAAGCAGAACACATCCAAGGACTTTAAGGCGTTAAAACGTAAGGTTGCATTTCCATGACTCTCTGTTGAAGACTAATGTTAATCAGAGCAATGAGGTCCACGGTGCTGAGAGGGTACAAATAAATTAGAACTACAATCAACTTTGCATTACACTCTGCCTCATGTAATAACAATCTGTTAGAAAATCATTTGATCATTTCAGTTAGGAGAAAACAGCTTAGAGCAGCGGGAGTAAACGCTCATTTCCGAGATGACTAGAATTGGTCTATGCCCTCTTCACACTTCATATGTACACAAACAGATGATGAGCAATGACAAATCATCAGGAAGATCGTTGAGGTTTAACAATGCATGTCTTTCAGTGGGTTTTATACCAAGTTTCAGTTTGTGAACTGAGTTTGGCTGCTGAACAGATGAAGGTAAAAGAACTGCATTGTATTCCAATCTTTCTCAAGCCCTTGTGAAAGATTGGAAAAGACTTAGAATAAAATGTGCATGGACAAGTCTAATCAGAAATCCAAAAGATCTTGAGAAAACCAATGTGCATTTAGCAGTTTCACTAGCTGACAGAAAGGTGGTATAAAAACGTACACATCAACATCTGATTTAGCAAAGTCTCAACAATATGCACAGTCAGGGCAAACTGTATTAGTCAACCATAGAAACGATGCTTATTTTTGCAATGTTACAATCTAGAATTGATTCCAAACAAACAAAAGTGGTTTTTAAGATCAGTAAAACCTGAATTGTATGTGGTCACACCGGATATTTGCATTGTTATGGTGCATAAGACGTTACAAAGTGCTCTCATTGGCCTAGTCCCTTTTTTCAGAGATACTGCTGAGATACAGTTAAGTTTCAGACCAAAATATGGTTGTTTCGCATACTCTTGATGTGGATGGGGCAGGTTTTATTCTGTGTGCATTCAAACTATCTGAATATCATCATAACGTACAAGTGAGGTACAACAAAACTGTGTTAAAACAGACTTGACAGATAATTGCAAAATCACACAAAAAGGAATATTAAAGACTTAAATTAAATTATTTAGTACGTGTAAATAAACGTTGACAAAACCATACTCATTGAAGAATGGGTGTATATAGAACTAAATATAACAATGATATTAGAAGAAAAAAAATGATAAAAATCAAGTGACGAAGTACAACAATAATGGCCCAAGTTATTTTCTATGACAATTTCAACCACTGATTTTGGAAGATATATATTTCTGTACTGTCCCGTTTGTGATTTGTATTCAGGGACAAAAATGACACATTGATCAAGACATGGGCATCAAACTGAGATTTAGTTTGTGTATGTATGTTATGGTTTCGAGAATGAATTGTCAAACAACATCAGCCCTCCAAGTAGAACTGATGAGTCAAAAAAAAGAAAAAAAGAAACTACAGCATGTTAAGTTGGAGATTGCAGTAACTACACATGATAAAGTAATGGAAAAAGAATAATCATGGTCTGCATTAAGTTTTCAGAAGGCTTCACACTTGAAGGTTATCTATCGATCCATGTATCTCAGTAGTCGCTGTGAGTTGAGCAGCACACTGATTCGGTTTAATGGCTCCAGTGACTCTTACCGATCCCAGACAACTATATGCTACACTGATAAGCACTTTTAACCACTCCAAAACACTGGGTTGGTGTGCAGAATACATCTGCAGTACGTTCGACCTCATAAAATCAGGCCATTCGGTTTGTCAGTTCTTCTTCTGAATATTCCAACCAGCAGAAAACAGAATTCCTTGTGTACGTTGTGATATGCTGGATCAGTGTAACATGGGCTCTGAATGGCTTGCACTGGTAAAGCACTGATTGATTTCGTCCATAAAAACCTTTGGGTGTTAACAGAAGATTGCATTTGAACATAATTAGAGACTAAATGCATGTCAAACATCATGTAATAAAAATGAGCAAATGAGTCACTTCTAACAGAAGACTGTTACTCATTGCTATGCGCGATCGATGCATGTTAAAAAAAAAATCAGATGGCCGTTTCCAACCAATCAGCCAGAGTGGAATCACAAAAACACTGTAAATAAACTACATTTCTGTAATGAAGAACCTTCAAGACAACCTCTTCTGTTAATTAGAAAGTAGAAACCATTGCCAAAAACTGCTCAAAGCTTTTGGTACTGGAAACATTAGGTAGAAACAACAACAACGACTAAAAAAATCATGACCACACTTGTTTGTGGCTGCTCACTCTAGCAAGTCAGTCTCTGAATCCAAACGCATCCAGATGCCCAAGCTCTAATGACCATGGTCAAATAACCATTATCTGTTCTAAACGGCCCCTGAGCTACTTCTGGCCATACAGTCTATCAATAGCACATTCAAAGGAAGCAGCTCACCGACCACTGGGTGAATATGAGAATGACAAAAGCAGGCTTCTCGTGACAGTGGGAGACATTTCAGCCCTTAAGGACATCCTGACCCTGTGTTTTGTCTGTAGAGGACCCCTGCCCACCCATGTTTCCCTGACACTGGCTCATTCTGTCCTGGAGGCGGAGCGCCGGCTCACTCGTGGACATCCCAAATTTCAGAAAGCAGTGGTGGGAGTTTCTTGTCTTGGAGGCGCAGAGCAAAGACTTGCTCTGAGTGGACGCTGCTCAGTGTGCGTAGGCTGACCAGCTTCATCAGCATTCGGGGAAACATCAGATGATCCTTTGGTGGGGATTAATGAGCAGTAGATGATTAGGAATACATAAGAATAGCATAAAATAAAAATAGCATAGAAATAAAATATAAATATTAGAAAAACGGAGAAAAAAAAACTAAAAAATATAAAAAAATGACAAGCACGACAAAATCAATAAAACTAAAATTAAAACTGAAAATATAAAAATAACAGCTAATTTAAAATATATTAAATGCTGTAATAGTACATAAATAATACTAAAATAAAACTGGTTATAGTCAATTGTTATACATGATTGGTGCAAAGGTAGAATCATCAGTGCCACCAACTGGATGCAAAAGGACACAACAGTCAAAATATTTAATGTCTTTGTTTTATGACAAAACACTAATTTATTTACTATAATCTTACATAGATACACTACCGTTCAAAAGTTTGGGGTCAGTAAGATTTTTTTTTTAAATTATAACATTTATGATGTTATAAAAGATTTCCTTTTAAATATCAAATGAATTTTATTCATTAAAAAAATCTTGAAAAAAAATTATCACGGTTTCCACAAAAATATAAAGCAGCAAAGTTTTTCACAATATTATCGTTTCACTGTATTTTTAATCAAATAAATGCAGTCTTGGCAAGCCTTTGTGACTTCTGTCAAAACATTAAAACAAATCTAACTGACCATAAACTGCATGACTTTAAAATGAACAAACACTATCAAAACACTGATATTCTTTTAGCACTCATTTTTCTTCTTTAAAGGGTTAGTTCACCCAAAAATTCTGTCATTAATTACTCACCCTCATGTTGTTTCAAACCTGTAAGACCTTCGTTCATCTTCGGAACACAATTTAAGATATTTCTGATGGAATCTGAGAGCTGTCTGACCCTGCATAGACAGCGATGTAATTACCAAGATCAACGTCCAGAAACGTAGCAAGGAGATCGGTAAAATAATCCATGTGACATCAGGGGTTCAACTGTAATATTATGAAGCTACGAGAATACTTTTTGTGCACAAAAGAAAAAAATAATGAATCTCCTCCGTGTCACCCTAGTGCCATTTTGGAGACTATCCACCACACGGAAACGTTTTCTACGTTGTTTGTGCTTTGATCTGAACGGAAACAGCGTATCCATGTGACGGAGCTGACACAGAACAGCAGACGCTGTTTACGTTCAGTGGATATTCTCCAAAATGGCGCTACAGGGTGACGCGGAGGAGACGAATTGTTGAATAAAGTCGGGGGGGGTTTTCGCACAAAAAGTATTCTCGTAGCTTCGTAATATTACGATTGTACCCCTGATGTCACATGGATTATTTTACCAATCTCCTTGCTACATTTCTGGACGTTGATCTTGGTAATTACATTCCTGTCTATGGGAGGGTCAGAGAGCTGTCAGATTCCATCAAAAATATCTTCATTTGTGTTCCGAAGATGAACGAAGGTCTTACGGGTTTAGAACGACATGAGGGTGAGTAATTAATGACAGAATTTTCATTTTTGGGTGAACTAACCCTTTAAGTGTTATGTTTGGCCTCTAAGGTGAATCATACTTACGTTGGGTCGTTTTATTCGGATGTAAGAGTGGAGCGCGTCCACATATGGCTGCTGTAGTCTTTCCACTAACTCGTGATCCTGCACGTTCGGTCGGTCTGACCCCCACCACACACACACACACACGCGCGACAAGAATAGCAAGAGTGATTGACACAAATGCAAAAGAATGATGCTGCATTTAATTTTTTTGTGAGAAAGTGCCTTGGGAATTACTATAGGATGGATCATTAAAAAGCTCTCAAAATAAACCAGTAGCACACCAGATGCCAATCTCAAATTAGAATCTACTAAATCTAATGGGTTATTAAAAATGGCTTCCCCTTTCAAAACATAAAATTGTATTAAACCCCTTATTACACTCAAACAAAGCTTAATTATTAGAAATCCATTATAGCAATCTATGGGAGGGTCAGAGAGCTGTCAGATTCCATCAAAAATATCTTCATTTGTGTTCCGAAGATGAACGAAGGTCTTACGGGTTTAGAACGACATGAGGGTGAGTAATTAATGACAGAATTTTCATTTTTGGGTGAACTAACCCTTTAAGTGTTATGTTTGGCCTCTAAGGTGAATCATACTTACGTTGGGTCGTTTTATTCGGATGTAAGAGTGGAGCGCGTCCACATATGGCTGCTGTAGTCTTTCCACTAACTCGTGATCCTGCACGTTCGGTCGGTCTGACCCCCACCACACACACACACACACGCGCGACAAGAATAGCAAGAGTGATTGACACAAATGCAAAAGAATGATGCTGCATTTAATTTTTTTGTGAGAAAGTGCCTTGGGAATTACTATAGGATGGATCATTAAAAAGCTCTCAAAATAAACCAGTAGCACACCAGATGCCAATCTCAAATTAGAATCTACTAAATCTAATGGGTTATTAAAAATGGCTTCCCCTTTCAAAACATAAAATTGTATTAAACCCCTTATTACACTCAAACAAAGCTTAATTATTAGAAATCCATTATAGCAAACTGAATACAAATATTCTTCTATAGCAGGAGGTTTTGTACTGTTCTAAAACTCACTGTAATCATAATTATTTTGCTGTTTTTTTATTTCTTCTCCCCTGAAAATGGGGTGCATCTGATATTTCTAAACAGGGATAGGGACAAATAAATGCCTGATAAGACTCACCAGAAGACAACCAATATAATATTGGTGCTTGTGTCAAACTGACCTGCTGAGAAAATGTTAATAGCGATGAGCAAAGCGTACTCTGCCTCATCCAGGTGGAGGTCATTCATGCCTTTTGAAAACTCAAAGATGGGGTTGATGAACTCCAACTGCAGCCCTGCAAACGAGCCAGAGAGGACAGAGATCATTTTAGGGCATGAACAACAAAAACAGGTCTCAAATAAAACCACACATAATATTCATAAGGCTTGAACTAGGTGGGGGACTATATTGCCTATATATATATATATATATATATTATTATTTTTTTTTTAATTAACGATAAGAATACATTTCACAATATAGCTATTTTCCTGATTTTATTTATCTTTGTTATTAAAAATAAGAATAACGATGCAAATTAGACATACCTGTAAGCCCTAGCTATGACAAATCATATTCTTCTTTATTGTAAGCATTAGGAATGTTGAAAACAAGAACCCATATAAAAATTTCATCCAGTACCTGCTTTGGCAAAATCTTCCTTATTATAACTGAAGTCTTTGAGAAAAGTGATGCTCTCTATCGCTGGGTTATAACGTCTGGAAGTCTCTAGCAGCATGATCTACAGGAGAAAGTACAGTTTAGCAGGTATGTTAAACAAGCAGTACAGGCTCTACTTAGTTTTTTTTGAGAAACAACATGTCACCAGGTGGCATTTTTTCGTGTTACAAAATAACAGCAGAAACAAGTCTGCCAAACAACAGTGCTCCATCTGCGCACACAAAAACAGCAACAGAAAATGACCGAAAACAATGTGTGTTAAGGGTCAGCCAAATCTAACCTCTATAGTTGAGGTCTTCAGCAGGGCGATCTGGTCCTCTCGGGTGAGCTCCAGGAAGCCAGGCAGCTGTTTAGCAAAGTCTACAATCTCCTGCACAGACATGATGGCCAGCTCAGTGAAATGAGCAAACCGTTGCTGTCGAACCTCTCGGTTAAGTGGGTCCTGACTCAGTGGCCAAGGCTGAAAAACAACAGATCCTGATGTAAACTTTTAGAATCAATGCATCACAGATTCAGAAAGATTCATGGCACAATGCATAACTCGGTAATTGAAGGATTAAATACAAGTCTTTCTGAGCAAACGCGCAACACAAAGGGCAACTGTAGTTGAATAAACGTATTAAATGCTTTACAAAGCAGAGCTACAATAGTAATAGGCCTTTTAGTCCGACTTCACAAAAACCAGACTAGTATGATTTCAGTCAGACAAATCAACAAATTACTGTTTTTGTCTGCTTTAAATCAAATTTGTAAGGCGGCTCACTTAAATGCACTTACAGTGACTTTGGGCCGGTCGAGAAAAGAGCGTTTGTTGCACTGTTTCTGCATGGCCACCAGTTTTTCGATCATCTCCTGCTGTTCAGGAGCCAGAGGGGGCATCTCAGGAACAGGGCTGGGTGCTGCCACTGCAGAGGTACTCTCTTCCTGTTTTTTCATCTTTTTTAGTCGGATCTGCTCTTCTGACAGCACACCTATAAGAGACGATAAAGCTGCTAATAGTTTGATAAGCTAAACAAGCACTACATGATCACAATGTCATATGAACATATCAGAACACGTAAGATAAAAGATTGGATGGCAGCTGTATGGACTGCTTGTGACGTTAATGTTTAATGAAGAACGCCAGACATAGGTGAAAAAGAAAATCACACTGCTGTCCCAAAGTTTTTCATAAAATTAATATTTTGATTCAGTAAGGATGCATAAAGTCACAAAATGTTCTATTTCAAATAAATGCTGTTGTTTTGAACTTTTCATTCATGAAAGAATCCTGAAAAAAAGTATAATGGTTTCTACGAAAATATTTAGCAGCACAACTGTTTTCAACATTGACGATAATTAGAAATGTTTTCTGAGCGCCAAATCAGCATATAAGAAGAGATCATGTGACACTGAAGACTGGCGTAAAGGCTGCTGAAAATTCAGCTTTGCCATCACAGGAATAAACTACATTTTAAAATGTTTTAAATAGAAAGCAGTTATTTTATTTTGTAATATTTTACAATATTACTGTTCATTATATTTCCGATCAAATAAAAGCAGCCTTGGTGAGCATAAGAAACTTCTTTCAAAAACAGCCTAGTGTTGATGTTCAAGTAGTGTCACTCACATTGCTCCAGCATGCCTGCCTCCCTGCACTTGCGCAGACGGCACTGCTGACACTTGCGGCGCATGTACATGTCCATCTCGCAGCGGCCCAAATTTTTGCAGCTGTATTGTGCTCCTTTGATGACGCTGCGTCTGAAGAAACCTTTACAGCCCTCACAGCTCAGCACATTGTAATGAAAGCCAGATGCTTTGTCTCCACATACGCTACACACCTCATTCCCCAACATCTTGGGAGCAGGGCCTTTCTTTCTCTTGACTGGCTGACCCTCTGCACAAACACACAGGACAGAAATACTTCCAAATCCAAAGCTTCATATACAAATAAATCATGAGTTAATACCCGACAACCTTATGAATGAGTGCATTTGTGTTCACTTAACCAGTTAGGCCAGTTCATCCACACATATTCACATAGTCAAACTGACACGCATGTTCATACATGCGTAAAAGTCACGTGTCACATGTTATGTAATAGGTAAAGTTCAATTCTGCATTATCTGAATCCTTTTGCACTATAAGCAAGTTCAGAAGTATCCTCCAGTCATTCAGTCTCACCTCGTGCAGGTGTGTCCTCTGTGGGGTACATCTTGATGTCGCTGGGCTCCATGAGCAGCGTGTCGTTCAGCTCATTGTGTGAGGTGCCGTATGAGGCCGTCTGACTTAGAGTCTCCTGTTTCACTTCTGCTGTCGCTGCTGAAGGGCCCTCTTCGCTGGCACAGCACAGAGAGTCCCCTGTACACACATACCAACAACACATAGTTATATTACAGCTGGGTCGGATTACTAACAAGGCATTCAAAACAACCAACTAGTCATTTAGAAAGGACCACTAGATTTTTTTTGTAGATACTTTTAAATATAGTGTTGCATACATGTGCCATGGGTCATGTCCCATGTTGTGCTTTGCATGTTTATTATTTTATACAGAGAATCCTTAGGACTCGTCATTGACACAAGGTACCAAATATCTTGAAAACCTTGAATAGACGTTTTGCTACATCTCTGGTTCTAATGGATGATTATTACAAATCACACAACCAACAACAACATGCATAAATATAACACATGGCCCATATTTTTATTTATGAATTTGTACATTTATTTTTTTTACAAACATCAAAACACCCTAAAAATGGTTTATAATTTTTTTAACCACATCTTTATATAAAACAAACCTTTACACAAATGGTAGCTTTATTAATCATGCTAAATTTATACTTTAATTTAACTATATAAATCCAACTGTAAACTCCCAGTTTGGACACCAAAATGAAAATTTTGTCATTATCTCACCCTTATGTCATTCTATATCTGTACGTCTTTTCTGAAGAATATTGGTAACCAAATTGTTTTGTTACCATTGGGTTCCTTTGTATTCAAAATAATAAATAAATACTTATTTTAGTTTCACAGAATAAACAAAGTCATACAGGTTTGGAACAACCTGAGGGTGAGAAAATTATAGAACTGACCAAACTACCCCTTTAAGCAACACTAATATTCTATCTAATAATTTCTATCAGTTTTGATATTTTGTTATTTATGCAATAAATTGAAACATTATCTCTCAATAATTAATAACACTTTTCCGACTGTAATTACTTTTAAATAACTGGTGTCAAGGTGATTCTAGTTGGTATTTGAAATCAGTTCCTCAAGTTCACAAAACCTTTCATTAAAGGGGTCATATGATGCGATTTCAAGTTTTCCTTTCTCTTTGGAGAGTTACAAGCTCTTGGTGCATAAAGAAGATCTGTAAAGTTGCAAATCCAAAGAGTTATTGTTTATAAAAGTTAAGAGTCAACCACGCCTACCTAAAACGGCTCGTTCTAACACGCCCCCACATGTCTATGTCACTATGTGGAAATATTAGCATAATGCCACACAAATGTGCACGCAAAGAAAGAAGGCGTGGTTTCAGGAACAGCAGTAGTGTTGATGCAGCCATGTCAGGGAGACGCTGTGTTTCAGTGCGAAAGCAAAAGCACTTTATTTAATGTACAGTATGTTTTTTGAACATTAAAGCATGTCAACATATTCTGTTACACCAAATACACAAAATAATGATCTATAAAATAGCATCATATGACCCCTTTAAATATGTTGTAAAATAAATGTTATTTTTCATAGGAATAAAAAGCCACTTGGTTTGATATTTTATTATCAAATGCAATGACATTCATATAATTATACGTGTGACTAAAGTGATCAAATGTGTTCTGGCAACTTCTGATTTTTATCCAGTCTCTGTATTTGAACATTTCACATTCTAGTACAAGAAAAATTAGAGTCTTACCATGACTAACATCAGTGATATCAGTCGTAGAAAGGGTGGACATCTTCCACACAGCCACTTGTCATAACGAACCAAGACTGCACCTGCAGAGAACAATAAAAGTCAAAGCTGAAGTCTTAAAAGACTGCCTGATTCAGTTTATAATGTTAAGTCACCAAAACCGCCTCAAACTGATACCATCTTTAAATGTATAAATTTCAATATTGAATCAAAACCATCTACAAAGTAGAACAGCAAGCAGCACAGCGTGTTCAGAACGCAATGACACACCTGACACGTACAAAGTCAGCACACGTAATATTGGCAGCAGTGGTCTGCCACTCTCACTGCCTGAACGCATGCAATGCTGATCTTCACTGATGACTGCCAGTACAGTTCCTTAAGTAGTCACACTTCTGTATGCAAAGCTCACAAAAACTACACAGTCACCCTTTCACATCATGGAAATTTTTCTTAAGCTAAACTGTGCACAGCAAAAAAAAAAATACAATTGAGAAATATTCATCAAAGTGAATGTATGTTTTTGCCAACTAAGCATGCTGTACGAACTACCTACTTGAGAATAGGAATTGAAAGTGCAAAAAAAAATTGGTCAAGACTGGTCATTTATGGGTGTTGCTTTGAGAGTTTTAAGAACGTTTTAAAAACAGAGAGGGATATCTGATTTGGGGACGGTATTTTGGAAAAAGGCTCAATCACACTAACCGTGGTGTGACAAAAGTCAATGGGCAAAATCATTTGGTAATGTCATGTCATTTTCCTAATAGACTTCCAATGGTTGTTAAATTCCACAAAGTGAATTTCACATTAGTTCAAGTTTTTTGACATGTAAAATCACAGCTCTGACCAAACAGCAAGTTACTTTGACTGCCAGTGACCTCTGTGTGGCCAGTCCACAACCACAGGTCCTGCCTTCTTTGCCTGGGAAATTTTGCCATGCAAGGGTAAATGTGACCACGCCTTAAAAATACAGCAAAATATGCTGTTTCAATTCTACAATTTAACCTTATCAGCAATAAGCAAAAAAAACATGACTCACAAAAATAAAATACTACTTTAGAAAACCAAAAAAAACAACAACAAAAAAAAGACTTCTAAGGGTAACTTCTTTTAATATCAATGTCCTTAACTGACAGGCCAAATGTATTCCAGCTCCTCCTAAAAAAATTATATTGATGAAGATATGAAGAAATTCACTAGTATTCACTACTTACTTTAAAATGCACAGTAAACTTTTTTCAGACCAAACACAAACACATTTTTATTAAATACCCAACTATTCATTAAAATAACTGTACTTATTTTCTAATTCAAACAGAATACCTAACTTCAGTTAAAGCATAACAATTTAGTTTAGTTTTTAACTATTTAGTTAGTTTCTAATTCTTTTCTTTCTTTAAAGAGTAGTAAAAGTTATATAGATTTATACTATTGGTCATAACATAAAAAAATATTATCAGCTTAATTGCTGCATGCCAGAATTTCAATATCTGCATATCTTAATGCTGATATATCAAAAAGATCAATTACAAAATATGAATTAGGCTGTTACACAGCAGGTTTACACACCCTAACATCTGAAAGATAAGCATCTAACTATGGACATAGAACGTGGATCAAACTGAACAAAAAAGTTAAATCATTTCTGCATACAATAAAAACACCTAAAATGCATTGCTATTTACAGAACAGGTGCCCAGATCTGTTCCTGAAGGGCCACTGTCCCGCAGAGTTTAACTCCAACCCTAATTAAACACACCTGAACCAGCTAATCAAGGTCTTCAGACTAACTAGTAGAAACTTCCAGGCAAGTGTGTTGGAGCTGAACTCGGTAGGACGTTGGCCCTCCAGGAACAGGATTGGACACCCCTGATATAGAGTGAGTTGAAGCAGCAGAATAAGGCCCCGTCCACACAGAGAAGCATTTAGCTGTATACGCATACATTTTGTATCGTATAGGCATTTCGTCCACACGGATCCAGCGTTTTGGGAGAGTGAAATCCATATATTTTTTTGAAACTAGGTCCCAGAGTGGATCAATCTGAAAACGCCGCCCTTGCGTTTTCGTGTGGACAGCGAATCCGTATATTTTCTGAAACGATGACGTCACCATCCCATGTCTCGCCCCTAGTCAGACACGATACACTCTCAAAAATAAAGGTGCTTCATGATGCCATAGAAGAACCTTTTTGTCTAAATGGTTCCATAAAGAACCTTTAACATCTGAAGAACCTTTCTGTTTGACAAAAGGTTCTTTGTGGCAAAAGAAGGTTCTTCAGATTACAAAAAGGTAAGAAAGAGATGGTTCTTTAAAGAACCTTTGACTGAATGGTTCTTTGTGGAACCAAAAATGGTTCTTCTATGGCATCGCTTGAAGAACCTTTTGAAGCACCTTTATTTTTAAGAGTGTACGTCACGTAACAGCAACAAAAACATTGAACGATTGTCTTTTTATTAACTAACATTAACACAGATTAATAAATGTATTGTTCCATGTTCGTTTATATACCGCGCGCAAGGTTTATGCGCATAGTCCAAGTCTTCTTCTCCGTTTTTAGTGTATCTCTGTGGCAGAATTACAGCGCCACATGCTGGTCTGGCATGTACACTACATAGTTTTGTGGTTTCGTGTGGATGCAGATATTTCTTGAGACGAGGGGAAAAAAAGGATTGGATAGGGAAAGCTCTGGCTTCGTGTGGACGTAGCCTGTCAGTTATTGTGAGTGAGAGCTCCACTTACCCCTAGCGTGACGATTTGTTAGTGTCTGCCCATGTTGTTCTCTGCGTCACTAGCTGCACATCATGTTTATCCTCTCCAATAGTCTGGATGCCATCGGAGGAAAACTTCTCTCCTATAATAGACTCTTCTGTGTTGCGGCTTTCTGACTGACAGCAAAACAAAGAGAGAAAAAACAAGAATCTGACTTCTGTTTGGAGGTTGTACAGCTCCAACGCTGAGGTGTTCCAAAGGACTTTATAAAAACAAGAAAGCAATTGAGAAAACAAGCAACTGGGAAGAATGACAGAAGAGAAGGTGGGTGAGTGAGTAAGAGAGGGAGAGGAGAAAAAAGGAGGGAGAAAAAAAGAAGGCACATGAGAGGTTACTAGCAGTCATTCACATGGCTGTGAAATCCCTACAGAGGACTGAGCTCTTGTAAGTGTCTCCCCCAAAGCACATCTTTTACACATCTTTGAATTTAGAAAGATATGGAGTCATTGAAAAGATGCACAAAAAACATCTCCGTGGAAACACTTTTTATGATAAAAAAAAATAGGCACCACTCAAATGATGACATCCTGTAAAACCTGGATATTATTAATGCATTTACTGAATTAAAAATAAGCAGTAATGGGAGTACCACACTAGACATCATAAAAAGTTTGTGCTTTAACAGTCAGAATAATGTCAACCAGGAGACAACCCTGACATGCCTCATCCCACGGTTACAACCATGCCAGAAACTGCTCAAAGTCCAGGTTATGTCTCCAGCAGTACATAAAACAAATAAAATTGAAATAGCAACTATAAAACCACAAAAAGTCAGAAACTCTTAGCAGCCCCAGATAATAAACAATAAGAAACAGCCATTTCTAATATACAAGCTGTAAAGTAAAATATACTTTGCAGGATTCTAAAGAAACAGATTCTGTTCATAAATAGCATGACAATCAGCTCACATTATATCAGCTGTAAGAAATGACAATGGTTCAGTTGTAAAAAGGTCTGAATTCCCCTTTGTTCAAGGGTTCAATGAATTGTATAGATCCTATTTGAATTAAACACTCATTAAAATCACATTGAACGTGACCTGAAGTAAACCAATGGAAGGCTTCTTTCAGTGTCCAATGTTCTGCACTTATCAGTGGGCTGTTACCTTTGTCCTGTAAACCAGTATGCTCTACATCTGCCAGATCAAGAGTCAGCACATCTGCTGGCAGATATGATAGCCGGAAAGTGACAATGGACAATTAAAACAAGAATATACTTAATTTCAGAAGAAACAGCCTAGTTAATTCACTTGTGTTCATTTGCAATTAGCAAAGTGCTGCCTGAATGATTCAAACCCAGAAATAGGTTAAAGTTAAGACTCAGCTTGTTTTAGGAAGTGGTGTTTTCCAATTCTGTACAGTGAGTTGAAGCAGCAGAGAATTTAGCTTCCTCTAAATTTGTCATGAGAATTAAGAGGAAGAAATCCTTACTATACATAGGATGCAAATTAATAATGCAAGGCGACAACATACGATTTAGTCTAAAAGTACTGTTGGCTTACACCCTCAACATGGAACTACTTCTGCTGTTTGTAGGTACAAAAAAGCACAGCGACATATAGAGCAGATGCATGAGCTGGTTTCCACCCTGAAACAGACTATGTCTATAACCAAACTAAAAAGAGGTCTTTTACAGAAAATGGCCAGAAAATTCACCCACCATTTCATGAACAGTATAAAATGGTGAGATAAGGCCCCGTCCACACAGAGAATTTAGCTTCCTCTAAATTTATCATGAGAATTAAGAGGAAGAAATCCTTACTATACATAGGACGCAAATTAATAATGCAAGGCGACAACATACGATTTAGTCTAAAAGTACTGTTGGCTTACACCCTCAACATGGAACTACTTCTGCTGTTTGTAGGTACAAAAAAGCACAGCGACATATAGAGCAGATGCATGAGCTGGTTTCCACCCTGAAACAGACTATGTCTATAACCAAACTAAAAAGAGGTCTTTTACAGAAAATGGCCAGAAAATTCACCCACCATTTCATGAACAGTATAAAATGGTGAGTGAGAGTTAAATTATATATGAATATATGAACAGGGTGTCACACTTGTGGTATCGTCTTTTAAGGCATGACTTTCTCCACGACTGTAAATAAACAACTTGTCAGACACAAATAACAGAGCTAAAAACTGCTCTTTCACAAACATTCAGACGGCAATGACTGCACACACCAACTCCTGCATTAAAATAACTATTCCTCACAAAGAGGTCTTGAATAAATAATGTCTCATAGTTGAAAATAGGGCTGTGCAATTAATTGCATGCGATTGTCATGCGCATCTCGTCAGTAAAGCCGGTTCTGTGATTAGTAGTAAATCTCCATCACCTGCTTTCAGATGGAGCGGCATTCACTCCACAGAGCCGTAGTTCACTGACAATTAGGCAATATCGTGTTCATTATCGCAGGCGATTCTATCTTAGGTTCTAAGGTTAGAGTGAGCAGAGGCAGGTGGGCTTGAGAACGGCGCGGCCGGCGATTTCGACGAAGGAGCATCCGGAAGGACATGTGACGACTCCGGGCTGGACTCCGCTTCATCCACGGTGAAAGCCGATCCGGCGATCCACAGTGCAAAGTTGTAGTATTTCCTCAGCAACCAGCACGGATCAGCTCCAGGCATGATGAAGCCGATATCGTCCTCTTTTGGAAGGCCAAACAAAGTAGTTTCGCTTTCACACCGAAGCACACAGCATCTTTACGACATGGCGGCGGCAACAACAATACTACAGCAAGAATAAAAGTTACGCCTTCTTTTTTGCGTGAACATTTGGGCGGCGTTATGCAAATCTTCCCACATCCTGACGTAGACATGTGGGGGCATGTTAGAACGAGCCGTTTTAGGTAGGCGTGGCTGACTCTTAACTTTTATAAAGAATCTCTCTTTGGATTTGAGACTTTAGTCTTTGCAACTTTACAGATCTTCTTTATGCACCAAGAACTTGTAACACTCCAAAGAGAAAGGAAAAAATGAAATCGCATCATATGACCCCTTTAAAGGTATAGGGTACAGTATATTAGGTTGTGTGTAATCATAGACGTGCTGATAAAATTGAGATAATGGCAGATCTTTTCCTCTGCATTGTGATGTACATCTAAATGTAAAGGATTATCGGGGGGGAAAATGAAAGGCGGAGAATTGGCCCTATCCAAAAGTTGCTGGCTGGATTTTGAGATGCAAACATTGCACTAAAAAATGGAAATATGAGGTGTCTGCAGAACAAAAGTGGGCCTTTCTAAATTTCTGGGTGTTTTCAAACAGGTGGGTGTTAATGAATCATGCAATGAAAATGATGCCCCTCCACCCCTCCCCTAAACACAACCATCACTGTGATGTGAGCAAACTGAGAAGCTGCTCACTACAGAGCCGATGAGTTAAGTTCGACATCCAGCTACCCCTCGGCCCAACCACATCCTACCCCACCCTAATCCTAACCCTAACCTTACCCTACTACGTCAAGCTCAACCCATTACATCCAGAGAGGGAGAGCTGGATGTCATTTGGCTCTGCAGTGAGCAAATCAGGTAACACCAAACACCCCTCCATTATGGCCCCACCCACCGGTCTGGTAACTCCCATTACTGTCCTGCAGAGACCAATGGAGGCAGTTGAACACAAGCTTGCAAGGATGGATTTAAACAGACTAAATGATTGGATAAGTCTGGCATAGGTCATAGTTCTGGCATACTTCATACACTGTTTTTACATTATTTCGAAAAATCATACATCAATGTAATTAGTGTCACCAGCCAACGCACAGGCTGAAACCCAGCCTGGAATAACATATGCAGCGAAGCGACTGGAACTCCTCTCAAAGCGTTCTGCAATCTCATCGCCACTCCATGTTTTCCATTTCAGTTCAATTCAATTAAGCTTTATTAGCATGACAGTGTAACACAATGTTGCCAAAGCATTAACATATATATAAATAATAAATAGAAAGAAACAATTAAAAAAAAACATAGATAATAAATAAAATCTATCTAAATAGATGAAAAGAAACAGTGAGTCAGTTTAGATTGAACTGTGTTTAACACCTAACATTGTGAATGGCTAACACAAGCTTTGCAGCTAGTGCAGCTGTGTTGTCATCTCGAAGTATGAAGGGTAATATTCTCAGTATCATTTCAAATCTGGGGAGAAATGTTTCCCTCACATTGTGATATTTAGGACAAATCAGCAGAAAGTGTTTCTCCTCCTCTATTTGCTGTAGATCACGGTGTCTACAGATCCTCTGCTCTCGCTCTGTCCATGTGTGTCTATGTCTTCCTCCCTGTGTTTCTAAATCATGGTTACTTAATCTGTATTTGGAGAGGATTAGTCTTTCTTTAAATAGTTTAATTCTTCTTCTTGATATCATTTCCCGCTCCCTGCTCGGATAGCTGCTGGAAACACCGACGCTCTTCTGCTCGTCGCAACTAGGTTTCAATTCTCGAGTGAAAACAGATCTATTAAAAACAGTGACACTGCTTTCATCCCAATAACTATCAGCAGATTTGTTAGGTTACTCGATCTGTCAAATTAGAGGACCGGAACGGTTGTATGAACAGCTCACTATAACTCTGTAACTACTCGATCACACGCATTTCTGTGAAGGACTCCCGAGTAAATTAGCCTGCTTTAGTCTGCACTTCACCCCAAATACTGTAACTCTAGGATTAGCCGCTAATAAACTCGGGACATGATCAACAAGGCAGATTACGACTCATAAAACTGTACTGAAAAGTAGTGTTAGTGGTGTTCAGTTAGCCAAAACACCCTGTTAGCCTGGGTTCCTTACAACAACACTCTGTTGTAACAAAATAAACAAAAAACAACCCCTGCAACTAAGTTACCATTTAAACACTGAGAGATTAAATCGGACAACTTTACGTTAAGTGAGTTCGACAGATGTTGTTTGATCCAGGGTGTTTACAAGTGTTATATTAAGCACCTAGCACTGACAGACATGTCTCCCATCATGACAGCTAAGTTACATGAGCTAACTATACACCTTATTACACAGACCCCGCTACTGGGTAAACAACGCTCTCGTGCCATCACCTGATCAAATGAAAATAACGCTCATTTTCTAGAGATACCTCGCTTTGCTGAAGATGACAAGATCTTTAGTCCAGCTCGGTGAGCTTTACACTGGCGATGTGAAGAGAGGAACGCCTAGGTAGGCCGCGGAGAGAGAGCGCTCTAAGATGGCTACATACAATCACAGGACTGTCACTGTCTTCTGCCTTCAAAATAAAAGTGCCTTAGTGATGCATTTGAATGATATATTTGACGGGATAATCACTATAAATATGTCTAATAACCAAGGGTGTAACTTTGGTTTGAGAAGTGGGGGTGGGGGACACAAAATGGGGGGAAATGTTTTCGATTTGAATCCCATTTCCTGCAGGTACATACATTTAGGGACTATGGTGATACAAAATCCAGGAAATAATTAAGTTGATTAATGCTCAATTCTGCCACAAAGAATAGTAGGCTACTAAACTATGCATAAGAAAAATATGTCTTACTTTCTTTATTGTTTAATGGGGGCCGATCGCCAAGACTTGAGAGAATCATTTTATAAAGTCGAAAATGTTCACCATTAATGTTTAAATAATGTGAGACTCAATTTCCACTGTTAAACAAACTTTTATTTCAAACTAACCGCTGTAACGTTACCTGAAAATATAAAATAAATCACTTGTTGCACTGGACAGAACGTGCTACATCAGTGGTTCCCAGACTGTCTAGAGTGGAGTACCCCTGAGGCATTTCTGCGTACCCCTCTCAGGCGGCCGTACACGGTGCGATTCTGAAGGTCGGCAGGTCGTGAGCTCTGGCACATGTCACGATTGAGTTTATGCGAAACTCGTACAGAGGCAGTCACACACCACACGAATTTACTACGATTTGACTAAGCATTACGATTCATAAAAATATGGATTCGGAGGAAGAAATAGTTTTCTTTGTGTGGCAGGCGGCTTGATGTACAAAAATAACGAAGACAAAGGACATGGCAAAGAGAATGGCTGAAAAGCAGAGAAAAGCATGGACTTTCTGTTCTTCATAAGGAACTCGAGGGAGTAACGTTAGGCCATTTCTGAATTTCTGCTCGTTTTGCCGGAAGTAAAACAGGCATATTCATTCATAAAGCTGAACGGCAAATTTGGCACATTCGGAATAACAAATAAAAAATAGAACTGTATAATTAAACAAAATTCGGAATAACAAATAAAAATAGAACTGTGTAATTACACTAAAAGTATAACAGACTATATGGTTTTTGTCATCTTCTGATTGGTCAACTTCAGATGGATCCCAGATCGTCTCGTTCAACCGCACAGACGCCACGAATTTAAACCGACAGCATCCCATTTTTTTTTACATGTTTGAAAATTATTGGGAGGACGAGAGGTGCTCGTAACATCTCGGATCGGCCCGTAATTCTTCTCACACGGTACGAGCCGCGACCAGGCGAGCATCTGCGATTATCTCCCGAGAGAAAAAAATCGCCTGCAAGCTCGTACGACAGCAAAAAATCACACCGTGTACGCCCGCCTTATTAGACTGCACCTTTTCCATTAAAGGACCATATTTGCCCCCTAAATTGACTTTCCAAAGAGAAAAAAATCGCCTGCAAGCTCGTACGACAGCAAAAAATCGCACCGTGTACGCCCGCCTTATTAGACTGCACCTTTTCCATTAAAGGACCATATTTGCCCCCTAAATTGACTTTCCAATGCATTTTTTTTATCTTTACCGCCAGTAGGTGGTCTTAATGCGTGAGTCATCGAGTCATTTGTTCATTCAGTAACTAAGCAAGTGGCTGTATTTATAAATTAATCATTGAATCAATGACTTTCGCGAACGATTCGTTCACGAAACACCGCACAACTGTGGTGGTCTTACTACTTCTGCCATATAAATATATACGTTTATTGCAGAAATAGTAAAATAGCACGCCTTTCCGAATTTATACAGAGTATTTTACAGACTTTATGGTCAGTGTTATTGAAGTCCGGCAGATGGCAGAAAGAGCCCTACATGTTTTGCTGCAGCCATAACTGAAGAAAAACCGGGCCGAACGTCACGTGACTCAAACAAACACAAATGTTAAGAAGTAATTTGACTCTGTGTGTATATAAGTGAACTGAAACTGAGTTACATATAAATCGTAAAAATAAGTCGTATATTAAGATATATACGAAACGCATAATGCATTTAAACTTTTACAGCTTCGGTGTAGGACCTGGCATGTGGCTGGCTGATCTGACTGAATGAATGAATGAATGCTTGGATACAAATGTATAGCAGAGTTGATCGATACAAAGTAGTCTTAAATTACTGTAAAGAACAAATCTATTAACCATGCGGAGAAGACCACAGTCTGCGGCTTTGACATCGGCATTTTTAAGGTCTGGGAGATTTGTTGTGCGTTGTTATCACCGACGTTATCTTCTGCACAGCCTAATGTTACAATGTGTTCTAATGCTGCAGTGTTATTTAATATCACCATTTGATGGAGCAGTGTTACCTGAATAAGTCACAGTGCTGTCGGGTGATTTACTGTACTGTCAACATTTAGATTCGTCTGGCAGCTGAAATGACTTCTTTTAAAAATAATGCTAGATTTTTTTTTATACTACAATTTACAGTGAACATGCTGGACTTTGTTTTAAAGCAGGGCTGGGAGTGAGAAAACAGGTTCTACAGCTGCAGCACAGTCGCAGTTTCACACAGACCTCTGGCTCTGTTTCACTGTGCAGAACTGGATATTGGACTTTGGGAGGCCAATTGCTATGGTACAAGTTAAACCAAGCTGTGATACTTATGCATGAATGTATTTTTTTTCTTCTTTAATACCAATAACATTTTTTATATTTTTAATTTAGATCATAATGCCCCTGGAATGGTTTCCTCTAAATAAACCCAGTGTTGGAGATTATTTTCACATGGCATATAATGTCATCACACCATTCCTATTACTGAAGGTACACTTTCTTCTTCTACACTAAAAATATTAACAAAAAGATGTATTTACACACACAGTTGACCTTAATGTAAAGTTCTTGTAGGATGTTCCTTTTCTCTAACCCTTATATGTATGTGCTTTTGCTTGAGGTATATCAGTAAAAGTAGACATTTACAATTTATTCATTTAGCAGCTTATATCCGACGCACTTATAATGTAACCCAGTGATCCTCAAATCTGGCTCGTGAGATCCACTTTCCTGCAGAGTTTAGCTCCAACCAAACAAACCTACCTGTGATTTTCTAATGATCCTGAAGACATTGATTAGCAAACTCAGGTGTGTTTGATTAGGGTTAGAGCTAAACTCTGCAGGAAAGTGGATCTCGCGAGCCAGATTTGAGGATCACTGATGTAACCAGTGCTGGGAGATAAAGAGAGGTGTGACTTGGCCCCTTTGGGCTTGTTGAAGAACAGTCTAACTGCTGTGTTCTGAATCATTTGTAAGAGGTTTCATTGCACATGATGGAAGTCCAGCCAGAAGAGCATTGCAGTAGTCTAGCCTAGAAATGACAAGGGCCTGGACAAGAAGTTGTGCAGCATGCGCCATTAAGAAAGTGTTGTTTTAAACTAAACATGACTGTCTTTAAAATTTTGTAGCTGATTGAGCGGAGTCCCACAGCCCTTCCTTGCTCAGCAGTTTACCTCTGCATCATCACCTTTGTCATGGGAGCTAGCATACACCTGGTAGGAGACTCTATTAACCATCGTCTCATCCTCAGTGGATACCAGCTTCACCTTTCTGTCAGAGAAAACCCCATTATCAAAGATCTGAAGCCTGCCTCACTGGTAGAGTAGATAGACGTACAGATCAACCAAATTATTTGCTCTTTTGGAATATTTATATATTTTTAATGATAATGGTAACATATCCTTTATGTGGTTTCCAGATTGATTCCTTTGAGCTTCTGTATTACTATGATGAGCACTTGGGGCATTCCATGTGGTAAGTATACTTTCCATACTCGTATTTCATCTGTAATTGTGCTATAAGTTACAAGTTTACATTACAAATTATGTGTGTAAAACACCCCACTCTGTTATCATTATAGGTATGTCCCTTTCTTTCTCATCCTCTTCTTATATTTCACTGGCTGCTTTACACAAATTAAAGATGAGAAGATGCCTTACTCAGGCTGGCTGCTACTTGGCCCCAGTGCTGTGTACTATTGGTAAGTGAATTATTAATTCAAATTGAAACAACCATTTTACTTCTGTTAAAGGGGTCATATGATGCGATTTCAATTTTTCCTTTCTCTTTGGCGTGTTTCAAGCTCTTGGTGCATAAAGAAGATCTATAAAGTTGCAAAGACTAAAGTCTCAAATCCAAAGAGATATTCTTTATAAACGTTAAGCGTCAGCCACACCTACCTAAAACGCCTCGTTCTAACACGCCCCCACATATCTACGTCAGGATGTGGGAAGATTTGCATAACGCCGCCCAAATGTTCATGCAAAGAAAGAAGGCGTAACTTTTATTCTCGCTGTAGTATTGTTGTTGCCGCCGCCGCCATGTTGTGAAGGCGCTGTGTGATTCGTTGTGAAAGCGAAACGACTTTGTTTGGCCTTCCAAAAGAGGACGATATCCGCTTCGTCATGCCTGGACCTGATCCGTGCTGGTCGCTGAGGAAATACATCAACTTCGTGCTGTGGAGTCCAGCCCGAGGTCGTCACATGTGGTTTGCGCAAGCCCGCCGGACGCTCCTTCGTCGAATCCGCTGGCCGCGCCGTTCTCAAGCCCGCCTTGTGGGACGCTGTGTTTTGTTGTGAAAGTGAAACTACTTTGTTTGGTCTTCCAAAAGAGGACACGACTAGAAACCAGTGGTTAAGTTGTATTTACAACACTGTTCCAGAACAGTTTAACCCAAATATTCAGATGTGTCCAGCACATTTTATGGAGGACTTTTTCCTGATCCTGGGAGAGTAGACTACAATGCCAGCTGTTCTGACTCTCAGACTGTAAGAAAGTTTTTTTTTTAAAAACTTATTTTTTTTTTATATATATATATATTTAAAGAATTTGCCACTGATTCAAACGTGAGTTTTGAGCAGTGTAGAGTAGCACTTGTTGTTTGTAATTTCTCCGATCACAAATGCAGACATGGTTTTATGTTTACGCGGCACAATGCAACACAACGCGTAAAAAGACAGCATAAGTCATTATGATCCGTAATTATGTCCCCACTGGATGCAACAAATGCCTAGTTTATAATGGGTTTTAATATTTTTGTCTCATCACTCCGGCCGGACAGGGCATCACAATATGGTAGGGGTGTAACATTTCCGTCACACGCTTGAGGTATTCGGCCAATCACAACGCACTGGATAGCTGGCCAATCAGAGCACACCTCGCTTTTCAGACCGATGAGCTTTGTAAAAATCTGACCCATTTAAGTAATTTCAAGTGAAACAGAATATTTAATAAAACATGAATGTGGTTTATTTTCTGCAGGTATCTGATTACTGAGGGGCAGATCTTTGTCCTGTATGTCTTCACCTTTTTTGCCATGGTTGCCACTGTGATGCGCCAGAGGCGGATGGGCTTTGTGTTAGACAGCAATGGCCGTTTCCTTTTCTATAACTTCATCATTACTCTGGGATTAGTTCTGGTTTGGGTCGCATATCTGTGGAATGATAAAGTTTTGCGCAAAAAGTATCCCGGTATCATCTATGTCCCAGAGCCTTGGTCCTTCTATACCTTACACATCAAAGGCAGTTAAATACTAACAGCAAATCTGAACTAAACTTCATTGACATTTCTGCAGTATAATGCTTTGACCAAGTTTAATGGCACTTTGAGTGAAACCGAGAAGATTTACTTAAGTTCCAGTGTTACTTAAATGGATTGTTCATCCAAAAATGAAAATTCTGTCATTTACTCACCCTCAGGTTGTTCCAAAACCTGTATGAGTTTCTTGTTGACCACAAAAGAAGATATGTTTAGGAATGTTGGTAACCAAACAGTTGACAGTAGCCATACTGGTTACCAACATTCTCAAAATGCCTTCTTTTGTGTTCAACAGAAGAAAAAAAAATCAGGTTTGGAGCAACTTGAGTATGAGTAAATTTGTTGAGTATGAGACCGTTTTCATTTTTGGGTGAACTATCCCTTTAAGAAGTTGGATTTAGCCTAGGTTTGAATCTTCACAAGGCAAACTATTCAATGACATGTTTGTAATTTTGGTGTACTGAATAATAAAGTCGTTTATTTATTGTGGCTTACAGTAAAAATGTTGCTTTTATGTCCTTGTTTTATCTGAATAAAGTTTGTACTCCCTATATATGTGTTATGAGTCACTGAGTGTGGTCATGAGCTGCACCTACTGTAGCAGACAGTATAATGTAACAGTTGGAATCCTATATCAATGTTCCCATGACAACGAGGCTATCAATTCCATCAACACTGCAGTGGACTTTAGTTCCTACAGGTAATCCAGAGGGAGTGACTCTTTCCCTGACCAGCCGAAACGCGTGTAGACATGGTGAGCTTGATATTCTTTTTCTATTCTAAATTTAATTTTTTCATTGTTTCACGGTACATTTTTTCAACTAAGCTGTTTTTTAAAACTCTTTTCAGGCTAAATTCTTATCACAAACTCAGATTGATGGTAAGCCGTGATGCACAGAAGTAATGTGTGTGTGTGTGTGTGCTTTACGATCCATGAATATAGTAAAACAAAATAATTGTTCTTTAAAAAAAAATAAATGACAGTAAATTAAGAACATTTGTGGCATTGGTTTATACTGTAGTTTCCTTGTTCTCATGCAGAGTTCAAAGAATGTTTCTCGCTTTATGACAAGAAGCGAAAGGGGAAGATTGAAGCCAAAGACCTTATTACAGTCATGCGCTGTCTGGGTACAAGTCCCACATATAATGAAGTGGACCGACATCTGCAAATCCACAAAATAGGTAACAATCTCTTGATTAACACATTACATTTAATGTGAATGCGTCTTCCTTGTCTGCTGCTCCATAGCTTCCTTGTGTCACCTGTGGCTAACAGCGATATACAATTGGACTAGTGGTCTCGTTATGCTGATGAAAAAAACCTTAATCAATATAGTAATGGCATTTGATTTTTATGGACAGTGTAAGAGCGTGTTGAGGCACTGGTATCAGTCATAATCTGAAGAAAAATGCTCGGTAGTAAATCTTGAATTCTTTGCTTTCTTTAATGTTAGGAGTTCATACATCTTTTACTGTATCCTCACCACAGATAAGACAGGGGAGTTGGATTTTTCCACATTTCTAACCATGATGCACAGACAGATGCAGCAGGAAGATCCTAAGACTGAAATTCTGGAGGCTATGCGCATGACGGATAAACACAAGAAGGGCTACATTCTGGCCTCTGAGCTACGGGCCAAACTCACAGGCTTGGGAGAAAAGCTCACTGATAAAGAAGGTATAAATCATTTATCTTCTCAGTTTACATTGTTTTCATCAAAGCTAATCAAATGAAATTGGGGAGTTGTTTAAGTGTTATTTAACTGTGAATTATTTTTCAGTGGATGAGCTTTATAAAGAGGCTAATGTTGGACGTGATGGACTTGTTTACTATGAGGAGTTCACCAGAATGGTCACACTTCCTACAGTTGACTACTAGTAAAGAAGAGCCGGTTGGCCCCTTACCCTGAATATTGCAATTATTTTACTAGCAAGAATGAGATATTTTTGTTCTGTGTATACATTGTATATAAAATAACAGCTGATTAAATTACAATAAAGACCACATATTTTGATATACAGCTTGATTCAAGTGTTCCCCACTAGATGGCAATCATGATGTAATCTGAATAAATGTGTCAGTGTTGATAAACACTTAGTCTGTCATGATATTCAGAATGTTATTTAATGAAGTTTGAATATAGTTAAACAATGAATGAAATGTAAGCTGTTTGTTGTACACATTCATCTATTTTTACTCTATTTACAAAATACAAAACGGAAACCTATGAGACTCCATCCTTTCCCCAATCCAGAGCTTTCATGAACTCCTCTTCAGTGAAGGACAACAGCTTGGCTGCTTCAAAATGCATCTTTTAAAACAAAGCCATAAACATAAAGTGTAATTAGTGAGGTATCATATTACTGTAAATGGAAATGACATCTTCAAGTAATTGTGAAGAAACTGATTTCTTACCTTCTGTCGCTTTAAAATATCTATTAGCTTAAGTTGCTTTTTAAAACCCACAATGAGCTCAGCCTTTTGTCGTTCCAGTTTTCTGTTCTCAGCTTGTAATGTTTCAATCTTTTGTTGCTCCTGACTGGTTAAATTCTTAGGTCGGATACAAAAACAGAAGAGAAATGTGAAATGAACAAAAAAAAGTTCAATCTAAATCTGAAAAAATTCTGGAGTGTGCAAAAAGTTTTATTGCACAAAAAACTTCACTTGGTTTATTTCATGCTGGTTTATTTGAGATGACTTTACCTTACTGCTCTGTTTGAGTTTGTTGAGTTGTGTTTTAGTCCTCTCAACCTCCTCCAGAGCTCTATTCAACCGCACCTCTGTTGCACTGTGGGTACTGGCTGCCTGCTTGTGGGTCCTCTTCATGCTTTCCAACTCCTAGACACAGGAAAAAACATATGCAGATTGTGTTTTCAGATGCAGACGTTCCAATTCAATATTTTGCTGTTTGTTCAAAAAGTTGAATCTTTAAAGCAGCAATAAATGCTTTTAACCTAAAACTACCCAAACACTAGATACTTTTAATAAGTCTAAAGTGAGATGACAGTGAATATTTTTTTCCCACAAATGTCCCATTCTGATATGATTTTTTAAATCTGATACTACTGTTGTTCTCTATCCTTATTCCGTTTCCATGTCCCTATCATAAGGGGAAGGGAGAGTTCCAAAGATATCTGTCCCAGAATCCCAAGTGCAGTGTGCTCTGGTCTCTGAGCAGCTGTAGCGTAGTCTCATTTTACACACAGAGGACTAATCAGGTTAAAGGGCCCATGCCAAGAATTCCACGGCTCTGGATCCTGGCACAGCTCTAATTAACAGGAATTATGGTATAAATATACACTATACATTTCCTGTAGGAAATGAGTAGAGGTTTATGATCAAAGGAACATTTTTTTGTTCAGAACAGTAACACTTGTCCTGTCATAAGGTCACTTTTTTTCAGTGGATTGTGAGACAAACTTTGAAGAATATTTTGCCAACAGTTTAAGTACCTTTTGCAGTGCTGCCACTTGCTGTTGCAGACCTTCACATTTCCGACTTGATTCTTCAGCAAAAGCTCTTTGCTTCTCAACTTGAGTCTGTTGGACATTTGTAGTCCTCTGCAATCTTGCCTTTTCCTCCTCCAAGTCCTTCAGTTTACTGCTTAAAGTACTGTTTTCATCATCCTTCAAGACACGCAAAAGACATTTTGAGCAAGAGTGACTTGAACTGACTGAATAGATTAACTAACCTTGAACACGTCTCAAACTTCTTACCTTCTTGTTGCATTCATATGCGAGTCTGTTCAATTCTTCCTGCATTACTCGAAGTTTAGCCTTCAAAAATCTGATTTGAGCTTCTGTAATTATACAAAATAAATGTATAAGCAATAATGCAAATAGTATACCAGTGCAGCAGATTCAATTTTTCAATGTATTTGTCCTTTTTAACCCACCTGCACCCATCTCATCTCCAGCACTGGGCATGATGTCATCCTGCAAGTGTTCCTCAGTGAGATCATCACTAACTTTGCCCTCAATTATGCTGATTGTTTTAGCAAGTGAGAAATCCCCAAAGTCTTCAGGAATAGCAACGTCATCAACCACAGTCTGTGGTGCTTTTCTATAATTGGAAGAAACTGTTGATGCTACCCATACATCTTCACCGCAAATATATAAACATAACAAATAAAGGCCAACATTCATTAGATTTGATCACACCTTACATAAATGTGACCCTGGACCACAAAACCAGTCTTAAGTGTCAATTTTTAGAAATTGAGATTTATACATCATCTGAAAGGATGAATAAATAAGTTTTCCATTGATGTATGGTTTGTTAGGATAGGACAATATTTGGCCGAGATACAACTATTTGAAAATCTGGAATCTGAGGGCGCAAAAAAATCTAAATATTGAGAAAATCGCCTTTAAAGTTGTCCAAATGAAGTTCTTAGCGATACATATTACTAATCAAAAATTAAGTTTTCATATATTTACGGTAGGAAATTTACAAAATATCTTCATGGAACATGATCTTTACTTAATATCCTAATGATTTTTGGCATAAATAAAAATCGATAATTTAGTTTTTTGGCTATTGCTACAAATATACCCCATGCAGCAACTTAAGCCTGGTTTTGTGGCCCAGGGTCACAAATTAGTTTATTATTATTATTATTTTAAGTACACATTTCTTTGAATACAAGTTTTGAGAATACACTTACTGGGGATTCTTTCTATTTCCCGATCCTGGCTTGTTTGGCTTTAAAGATTTTGCAGAGTAGTTCTTGTTTCTCATGATCTACATAACACAGCAGAAATGTTTCTGTAACTAATGGGGTCTTGTATTCAATACACATTTCCACTGATTCATATGATATTTGTTTGAGTTGTACCATTGTAGGGGGCTGCTTAGACGTGGATTCTCTTTTTGTAGCTGCCTTCCTGTTAAGACAGACAAAGTGTTATGCTGGCAGACAGCAAAAGATGTTGCTAATGCTTATGTCAAACAGTGTGAGGACCTTTACCTAGAAACTTCAAAATCACAGTCAGTATCAATGGAGATGTGGGAGGAGATTGGTTTGGAGAGCACCTCATTTTGATCCCTCTGAAAAAATATTATCGAAAACATAGTGTTAGCATCTGGGTTTGTTGCAACATCACACATATCACATTCTATAGTATAAACTATACAAATAAAAGTTCGATTAAAAACACAGCCCGTGT